CAGGGAACAGATTCTGCCTGCCTTCCTCCTCCAGAGAAATATCTCATCTTGTAAGAAGCCTTTCTGCTTGCAATGAAATACCCTTGTTTATCCACTGGCACCTGAAGTGGCATCACAGTGCTGAGCTAATGGAAAACAGGAAAGCAGATTCAGATGTGTCCCATTGCCACAGCACAAGGGTAAGATTTCCCACTGAGAAATTATAAAACTCCAGGACTGCAGCTGAGATGGGAGCCCTGCATTCGTTTGGGACAGTATGCTCCTCAGCACAGCTTCATCCTCTGCTCAGCTATCTGCTTTTTAAAATCTCGCTGTCTAGGGGAGGAAGGCGAAGCAAGGGGGAAGGGAGGTCAAGGAAGATCCCAGCAATCGTGAGTCACCAGGGCCTGACACTTATTTAGCAAATAGCATAAATTAAATTTTTTCAAAGGCAATAGCTGCTGTGAAACAGCATGAAACAGTATGCTTTTCATCAAGCTCAGCATGGTGAGCAGTAAAAGCTCAGTGGGAGAACACAGTTATACACTGACCTGCTCCTATCCAGTTGCTTCACGCTACAAGAAAAATGAAGAATCTCTGCTGCCTGAAACTGCAAAACAAATATGCAGCCTGGCACCCACAGGAGAGTTAGATGTATGCCTATTTTTGTGATATGCTTCCTATGATCTTGGCGGATTGTGATGGTAAGCATCAGAAAATAGTCATCATATTCACTGTAATTTAATAATGAAGAATGAAGATACTTCTCCGGCTTTGACACGAATCCAAATAATGAATTCCTTATAATCCTGTTGTTCTCATCCTGAGAGCAGATGCTACCCATCAATATCAGTATTATAGAATCATAGAATCATCAATGTTGAAAAAATCGTTTAAGTCCAATCATCAAACCATTACCACTCTGCCCACTAAATCGTGTCCCCCAGTGCCACATCCGCAGAGTGCATCGTTAAGTCTGGATCAGATTCCTGTCCTGTTCCCTACTGTGCCTTTTTCTGAAGCAGTGATGAGGGGTTTGTAATGAGCATCTCCCAAGGCTGGCAGACTGCCACAGCTTGAAGCCACGGGATAATATGAACACCACTGAAGCAACTTCGAGGCCCATAGGTGTTAGGAACACACACATATAGAAATCCACAAGAAACAAAAACACTGGGCTCCGTCAGCACTGGTTAACAATGTTGCCTAGAGCCCAGTTTTCAAATAAACATAATATTTGTTTTCCTAGCTGAAAGTGTAAAGTGAGCCATGAAGAATCAGGCATAAACCTCTCTCCCTTGCTGGGTCACAAAAAATCAGACCTCTTTGTGAACATGGCAGCAGGTGCTGATGGAGGGACTATCGAATAAGATAGATTAAAGGAGATGGTGGGAACACCTCTTTAAAGTCTTTCTTAAAGATAAAAGGATAAAGACCTCATACCTCCCTTATACTGCTCTCACATGTATCTTGAAGACTAAATAGGCTTCCAGTCCAGGAGAATGCCTGCATTGGTATAGTTTCAGTTGTGAGCATCATCGTCAATTACGAGTACCATCATCATTTCTGCCAATGTCAAGACCTGACAGCTTTCACCTGATCTCACAAAGGCCTCTGTCCATTCATACAGCTTCTCATATAAACACATAACTGAGATGAAGTGCTGCCCTAGAGTGATTCTTCTTTGCTCTGCATTTTTCAGCTGTGGCCCTCAGGACATCTCTCAGGTACTGATCAATATCATTCTCAGTAAAATCATCCTGTAATGGAGAGAAAATTTAGGAAGAAACTGTTTGAAACATAAAAAATGGTTATTGTCACAGCTGATTCTTACACAAATTCACTTTAGCTACTTTTCCTTATCTCTACCCTTTATGTATAGGTGGTAAGAGCCAGAAAAAACATCCTTTTTCCTCATGGGTTGTTCACAGGTAACTCAAAGAAAAGACTGCTGAACTTCATCCTAGGTTAACTAAAACTAGCTTGATTAGGTTAACTTGCCTTCAGCAATTCTTTTCAAACTGAAATGACTCACAATGTTCAAAACTAAATAGAACGTTTATTAAGAAGATGATCCAGGGACTGATGCTTTAAAATGCTCTGAGGTTTGCGTTAGTACTGTACAAAGAAAGAAGAACAAACATCATCTTCTTTGAAATCATACAGCAAGACACACGCTCACTGCGTGCAGCCATTAATATTTTTAGCAAGGTCAGAAGAGATCTTCATCATTATCCTTCCTTGCCAAAAGCCTCGCCCAGACATTTCTGCATGAGGCTAGAACTTCTGTGTGAGCTATATTGTATCTCGTTTTAGAAGATACTAATCTTGATTTAAAGATTGGAGAATTCCCCATGCCCCTAAGGTAAGTTATTCTAATAGTTAATTATCCTTTCCGTTAAAAAAAAATTAAAAAAAAAAATTAAAAAAAAATCACCTCCTTATTACTTGTCTAAATCTGGCTATCTTCATCTTCCAAGTGTTGGCTTGCCTTCTGCCTTTTACTGGTTTAAGATGATTTTGTATCGAAAATCTCTTCCCCATGTAGGTACTTGCAGGTTATAATTACATCAACTCTTAGTGTTTCTGAATGAAGTAAGTAGATTTAGGTTCTTAAAATCTATCACTGTAAGATAGATCTTGTCCAGCCTCAAATTTTTCCTGAAACTCTTTTCTGCAACCATTCAGATTTTCCAGAATTCACTGTGAGTTGTGGACTGCAGCATAAAACAGTACTTCAGAACTACTCTTGTTTAATAGATCTTATTTCAACTCCTTATGCCTTCTGGATAGGCAGAAAAGACCATATTTGCTGGCATTACTGCAGCATCACTCTGGGAACTCTCATTCATATTCATCGTCCACCATAACTCAGCCCTTTTTGAGTTCAGACAGTTCCAAACTTTGGCAGTTGCTGTTAAAATCCCACATACCACTTCTTCAGTTTCGTCAGCTTGCAATCAGCTGTGTGGAAACTCATGCTGAGCAAGAGAGTCGGTTATCTCAAAGAAGTCAAGTGGGTCTTCACAGATATATTGCCCTCTCCTGACCATTTTTGAAGGCATTATTTTGGTTTTAATTTTTTTCTGTTGCTGTTATCTAACAATCAGCTGTATCTGTTTTCCTTCAAATACTTAATTCCTCGCCATATTTGCTATACATGCATTTGTACACAAGGAAAAGAGCAGAAACAAAATTTAAACAAAAATGACGTAATACAAAAAATCTTTTTCTTTCTTTTTTGTCATTAAGCCCTATTTATTCTTCTTTAGTTGCTTAAATATGTACCAATATTTTACAAGTGCTATCACATTCTTTATTTTAGTGTAGCTTAATTTTTTTTTGTCAAATTAACAACAGATTAGCTGATTTTGGATAATGACTGAGAATGAAGTGTTGGTCTTGTTTCTTATCTTCTACCACTGCATTACTCAGTGGCTCAGAGGATATTTTGTTCTTGTAGGACCCTGATTGCCCCTCATGATGCACTAAAGAAGACTGTTTCTCTCTTCTACTGGTCTGCATCTTTCTTCACAATTCTGTTTTGCTATGTAGTTACTTTTTTCCTGTTCCCAAAAGTCAGAAAGAGAGACTAAAATCACAACATAGGATACCATCTTCTTTTGAATACAATGTTTGTCATTACCAAGATTCTCAAGAATCTCTCACTTCCACGTAAAAGGAAAGTGAACACAGTCAGTTACAAAGCCAGATACCAGAACTCTTCTGTTCAAAGCATGTCTTGTCTCACATATGGGTATAGTTAGTTCCAGGTAAGAGAGAAAAAAAAATAGGATATTCTTTTAAAACAGATCACAAACATTTGTTTATTTAAACACTAACAAGGATTTGGATCCATTTACACACACACATACAAAAACCTCACTATGTCCAATTCATTTGTAAAATTAGATAGAAAAAGACTAGGTGGGACAAGAACATAAAAATGAAATTGTAAATGAAAAAAAAAAAACACCTAAGAATGCTTTTCTTCTCCTTTAAAGGAAAAGAGTCGGGTGAAAAATGAATTACATGAGAATCTTTAAAATTAAAATTAAGAGTGATTTAAAAAGGACCTTGTTAGGGCTGCATACTGATATATGTCTTGCATACGCATGTACATTTGTGCATTCATACCTGTGTATGCAATATATAATGTGTAGATATGTTTACAAAAGCACTAATTCTTTCGTTCAAATCTAGTTCTTAAAATTAAACCATAATAAAATAATTTAGAAGCTTCATTCTGTTTTACTTATAAAAGAAATTTACTTCACAACATTTTGAAATGGTCTAAACCCTCGGGACTGTGTCTCAAGTAGGTACACTTAATACCTCTGATTGCATTTGCAATATATTGGATAAAGCAGATATTTACAAATAGTGAACTTGAAATGCTTTGGGGAAAAATAAAGGTGAGCTGTAATTAAATTGTGATGATCTCTGTTCAAGTGTTTACAAAGATGGAAGCAATAAATTCCAAGCACTAGTTGTGTAATAAAAGAAGTTAAATTTTCATAACACAGTGGCTTCGAGGTTGCTTGTAAACACTTATTTGCTTATTAATACAAGGTTTTTGTTTATTTGCTTTTCAGATAAATCTAGTGTCATGTTTTTAAATTACATTCTGAAATTGTATTGAAGTACTACTGATTGGCAACATGGATTATATAACTTGAAACAGAAGAATTCTTACAGCTCTATTTACAAATGTTTTCCATTCATAAGGACAGGAAGATTTTTACTATGGCAGTGCTTTCTGGCTCAGTGAGATACGTTCTGCTCTCACAAATGGATCACCAATTCTCTTGAAACAAGAAATACAACTAAAGACTAAAAGATATGAATTGCTTTTTGTTTGGTTGCTTGAAGCAGGGGTGAAACTGTAAACAGGCAGCAACACAGAGCACATTCATACACTGGAAAGTCTTCCATTCTTTAAGAAAAACAAAAAGGACAAAGTGTATTAAGGCAAGCTGAAACAACTTTGAGAATTTACACTCTGAGTCAGGGACTAACCTAGAAATATTGTCCAGATGGTCAAGTCTGCTGGCTCTCTCTGTAAAGTGAACAAAAGATACTATGGTTAGTAGCACAGTGTTTGCCTTTTGTCCACAAACACATATGCACTCTAGTGACATCTCTGAATTAAGGAGGGGTAAGGACTGAACAGATAATCTCAGCAGATGCTTCTCCATTCAGCCCTGTTCATTCAATGCCTCTGCAGATCATTTTGATACAGTCTTACTTAACATCTATAAAATACAGGAAGAATTTCCTTACTGTAAATCAAATCTACTCGTGAAGATTTTTAACAGAGGGATCAGAATGTTTCATCCATTGAATACTAGTTTCTGTAATGCAAAATAATTAGAAGTAACAGACATATGAATGTTGTACATCAGCGTTCTCTCTCGCACACACTTGGAGCAAATTAAAATAATTTACTAAAATTAAACAGAAGTTTGTCCCTATTTTCTACTCTTAATGGGTGCATTTGCATTATGGCTAGTTAGATTAGGACTATGCTCACTGTTCACACATCCATATAATTCCAGTATTTTCTCTTTATGATTCTTCTTTATCATAAAAAAACAGAGTCCGATCATTTTATTCTGCGGAATAACAGATGGTCATCCCATCTCAATATTTCAAAATATGGCAGTGTCCAAGTTTCTGTCTCTTTCTTCAGAAGGTTTGAGGTCTTTGTTAATGAGTGTTGGTACAACTCTTAGGGCAGAAAATAATATATGATTTAAATCCAGATTGCATGCAGACATCTCAGCAAGGAAATTACCCATGGATTATGCTAATAAATATGGCAGATGTTGAAAGATCATTGGCAACTATTTTATGCTAATAGAATATAAGCCAGAAAGCAAGGAGATAACCTCCATCCAAACCATACATAAATACCCTGATTTCCTCCTGTCATTTGTTATCAAAGAAATTTGTCTTTAATTCATTTGGAGGTGAAAGTAGCCATTTGGTCCTGATAAAATATTCTTAGCAAAAGTTCTGTCTATTTGTAACACTGTGTACTGAGTGAGGAAAAGAAAACTAGTATTTTTTTTTGATGGAGCAAGAAGGAGCCAAAGTCTTGGATAAAACATGGGCCACTCAGCTCAATTTAGTTTTATTTCAAATATGTCATTTCAGCACACAGCAATCTGACTTAAAACAATGACGATGGATCTTGCACAGGTGTGAATATTCTGTATGTCATGGATATCAAAGAAGATGGCATCATTTATGTTTGATGAAGAGATGGTTGGGTGCGTGATCCTTGAGACAAAATGGTTTCAAACATCATCTGCTCTTTTTGCCGGAGCACTCCACAACTGTGCAGTGGTGCATGCCAGACCACAGAAGCCAATGGAGTCCAAAGATTAATGCAATCAAGTATTACTCAGGAAATGGACGTCAACACTATTTCATTCTAAGGTGAACTGATGTTAAAGATAAGCAAAAATCGTGGCTTGTTCACAAATAGCATAAGAGAAAAGTAGTGTGCCTACTTGCAGCTCTCTCTACTTGAACAGCTTACATAACAACGATTTTAATCCAATATTCATCCTTAACTTTACACTCATGTCGACCAATCACCAATCAGTCAATCACCAAGTGTTATCAATAGCAGTGGATATGTCAGGTGTTCGTGCAGCCTCGCCACAAAGCTGTAGTTTCTCAGTGCTGCATTTGAATCCACAGATAAGGTTACACAGAATATTTTCACCAAGCCAAATTTTTGCCCCAAAAATGTTTTGAAAAGACATGTAGTCTTTCTAAATTTTAGTTATTTCAAAGGAAATCTGACCGTGTAAATAGAATGAAGCAGAAAGTATACTGAAAAAAAAAATTTGAAACGTGAAACTTTTTCGTTTTTAATTTTAGTTGTTTACACACATATACATACTAAGTACACACATACATACACGTATATGACATTTAAATACATACGTGCTTGCATGTGTGTGCTTCTGCATATATTTACTCACGTATGTACACATACATATCATACATGAATGCAACTATTGAGTCATAATGTGATGGTACAAGTAAAATATTTTATCAGTTTTATCCTGCTTTAAAAATCATTAAAGACATCAACTTAATTAACATGTAAAATACAGCAGATTAGGTTTATTACTTGGTGCTTCGTATATTTTAGGAACACTGTCCTCTTTCACTCTTGCGTATCTTTTCTTCCTCAAGTTTTCCTCATTGGTTGTGTTTGCTAGATATCTAACTCTTCCTCCATACTTCCCCTTATCTCTCTTCCAATTTTTTTTTTTTTTTTTTAATGAAAGTTTGTAGTTCTCTTTTGTTTTTTCATTTGTCCCAGTCAAGTTGATTCATTTGTTGTTAGTCCATGCTGTATTTGTACACAGCATTATATCAACATAAGCAAAAGATTGCCTTTTATTTATGCTTAACAATACCCAATTCTTGCTGAATTCTTTGTTACCAAGGAAAGGTCACTTTCAGAATCTGGACTAGTTCATTTCAGCTGAACTTGCTATACTATATGATTGTTTCAGTGTACAAATACCATCAGGAATTTGTGAAGATTCATAATGAAAGGTTATGATACAACTAGGAATATACCGGGGCTTTTCCAGGTCCTGGACTCATGCTGTGAACACTGGATCATTTTTATGCTCTAGATCAAATGTGAAGGCTTTATGTACTTCCCAGAGTACAATGCTATAGCTGAGGCTGTAGTCAGACTGTCTGCCAGACATACTTCTGCATTTCAGAGAAAGCCTTGGAGCCCATTATAAACCTGCTGAAGTGAAATCTGTCCACTCTTCTGTTGTCTCAAGTAACACCAGTCAGTCTCTGCCACTCACATATCAGCCATATTTGAGAAATGTACTCAGGTAGTGCCTATCTCAGAAAAGATAGGGAACAGATGTCGATATGTAAAGGCTAAATAGGATAAAACAAAGAGTGCATCTGATTAACTGACAGCAGAAAATGTTATTATTTGACTTGGTTTTAGAGAAACATTCTTGAAATTAGAATAGCCAATCCAACACTAAGAGGAGGGCTATGCTGTTCCCCTTGATGATGCTTTGTATGCTTTTTTTACGCAGAATAATAGCACAGTACTTTTCCTGCAGGGTAGAGAAGGTGAAAATGACAGAACCAGTCATAGGGTTGAGCACTCTTAGTCACCTTCAAATGTTCCTCATAATATGAAATGAATTGTTGATTAATTTGAGTGAGAGCAGAAGTTGCCCTGTGTGAGCTAGCATTGGCAGGATCGTTAATCCTTACATATCCATGCCATAAAACTGTTTTTTGATGTGCTGAATCACACTAGTACCAAAAAGGAGATTTCCATATGAAAACTCATTAATGTAATTAATAGCTCTTAACTTCACCAGTGTCTGTTCTAGATTCCCTGCACATTATTAAAGCGGGTCAGTACTGTTGTTTGGTATGGAGTAACTCATTGGGGATACCTTTGGAATCCATGCAAAGAATCACATAATCACAGAAACACCAAGGTTGGAAAAGACCATCAAGATCACCCAGTCCAACCATCCACCTATCACCAGTAGTTCTCACCAAACCATGTCCCTCAACACGAAATCCAGATGTTGTTTGAACTCCTCCAAGGTCGGTGACCCATTCCAGTGCCCAACCACTCATTCAGAAAAGCAGTATTTCCTAACGTCCAGCCTAAATCTCCCTTGGCGCTTGAAGCCATTCCCTCCAGTCCTATCACCAGTTACACGAGAGAGGAGGCCAACCCCCAGCTCACTACAACCTCCCTTCAGGTAGTTAGAGAGAGCAATAAGGTCTCCCCTGAGCCTCCTTTCCTCCAGACTGAGCAACCCGAGCTCTTTCAGCCACTCCTCATAAGCCCTGTTCTCCAGACCCCTCACCAGCTTTGCTGCCCTTCTTTGAACCCACTCCAGGGCCTCAGTGTCTTTCTTGCATTGAGGAGCCCAAAACTGGACACTGTACTTGAGGTGTGTCAAAGCATGTCTATTTTGGGCACTGCTTTATTTCTCACTGCCTGTCTACTTGCTGGGTCCAGGGATGGCACACAAACAGGTGCCAGACCAAGTCTTAGAATAAGAGATGTCAATAAATACAAAAGCAGTGTCCAAAGCACCCTGCCCCAGTGGCTTGTCCTGGAATTTGGCAAATGGAAAATAGTGAGGAGTTCCCAACAGTCATGTACAGAGAACTGCCCCAGACTGCTTGGCCATGTGGTAGGACCTGTGCACTCGAGGTGCGGCCTCACCAGAGCTGAGTACAGGGGGAAAATCACTTCCCTGTTCACAGTGTTCACACAGTGGGAACTTGCCTGGCACATGGCTCAGCTATCTGCTATGTTAAAGAAATGATGTAGGCATGAAGGCAAATAAATAATGTGGACCTGGATTCTGTTTGAGATCTGTGCAATCTGTGTACATAGTTATCTTTCCATATCAGTTGTGCAAAAGGCTATGTCCTTACCATTGGTAGGGTAAGCAAATACAAAAACTGCAAAATTCAATGACAGTCTGGTTAGGAATGCACAAACACTAAAGCCAGTGTTGCTTTTATTGTAGTTCTCACAGCAGAGGCAGGATAAAGCAGCTATCATTTGTGTACATCATTTCCAGCCAGTAAATGCTGGGAATATTTATTATTTCACATACCAATAACTCTGTGTCGTCTCACAGCCAGCATGTCATCATTCTGCTGTTAGTAGAGATTTTCCTCAAAGTCCACAAAGAGTTGAAGTCCATTACCCCTAAAATACACAAAGAATGTTTAGTTTCAGCTAAAGGAAACATCAAGAAAGGAAGTCATAGAGCTCAGGCAGAGATATTGCTCTGATCCACCCACGTACTCAAACACTACCACACTGGGCAAGAAACAACCATTAGTTTAAAGGGTTTCCCTTCAGTTGAGGCACTGTTCAATTGAATTTCAATGTTTTTTTTTTTTAAAAAAAGAGCAGAAGAAACAGAAGAAGAAATTTTTAAAATAGACCACTATCCACCCAAGTACTGAAAATTCAGCTTTATTTTAAGTACATAAAGCAATCCCTTGCATATCAGTGGGGCTTCTTTTGGGTTTTAATTTAAAAATTAAAAATCTGCATCCTCTGAGATCTTAAAGCTCAAATTAAACCAATATCTCTCTGAAATTATACAGTTATAGATGATTATACTTTAGTGTAGGAGACGGACTACTTTACATTTAGAAGTCTTCTCCAGCCCTATTTTTCAATAAAGTATTTGAACCAAATCCAAAAGTAATAGCGGACTGTTTACAAAGTCATCATTTTTCTGTAAAAGCTGGAGAAACTCTAGAACTGAAAGGATTTCAAAAAATTAATGGACTTATAATCATTTTTGTGAGCAAAACCAGTAATGGTAAATTCTGTTTTTAAAATCAGAGGTGTATATCCTGTGTAATGCTTCAACACTGAGACTTCCACTAAACAGTTTTCTGGAAGGATACAAGTTGATCTGGGAAATTTATGTAAAATTTACTGACACTTACTAAATCTAATACAAGCTTGACTTCATTGCCTACAGTTATCCACGTTTCTTAGTCCATTTCTGTAAAATCATTTAAAACTGAAAATTATACAAATTCCATACTAGCTATTATTCAGTCATCAAATGTACTCAAAGCAAAACAAAACAATGTACCAATATAGCTTTCCTTACCGTTTCCCTTTCCCTTTCCCTTTTCCCTTTCCCATTCCCATTTATCTTTCCCTTTCCCTTACTTTCCCTTTTATCTTTCCCTTTCCTTTCTGTTCCCCTTCCACTTCCCCTTCCCCTTTCAGTCCCCTTCTCTTCCCTTTCCCTTTCCATTTCCCTTCTTCTCTTTTCCCTTTTCCTTTCCTTTCATGTTATCAAGTAGACCCAATGAGTCCCAAACAGTCCTAAACAGGAGAAATCCATGAAAAACCTATATTTTTATGTTCCTTACATTTCAGTAGGTCTGTACATACTATTAACAATTGAAAAATAAATAAATGAAAACAATTTTACAAATGATATGGCTAATATCATTTTAAGCCAGAGTTTTATAATGCAAATGAAAATTCAATACAGAACCTACTAGGAATTCAAACAAAAACAAAGAAGTTAAAGGAATATATATACAAAGGAATATATATATAGACAGAGAAATATCTATATAGGAATATCTAGAAAATCTACCTAGATATATCTATATCTATATCTATCTGTAAAGGAGTATGTATCTTTATAGATATATAAAGGAACATAGATATAATAATAGAAAGGTACTGACAAATATTGAAGTGTGCTTAGGAAATCATTAGAAATTATCCCTTGCCTTTTTGGGTCTCTGAAATTTTTCGACTCTGAAAAGGTTTCAGTATGAGTTGTATGAAATGGTAATAAATAGTTTCTGTTCAACTCAGTGCAAATTCTGGACAGTGTTGAAAAGTTTACACGGCAAAAAAAGCAGTACCTATACTGGAGTACAGGAAACAGTAATGAAGTCCAAAGCAAAGCTTCATTGCATATTCTTTGAACAGCTGAATGCACTTTACGCCAGTATAGGGATGGAAAGCATCCTGGAATACTAGAAAAACAATGAGCACAGTGACAGATATATGTAAACTTGCTGTGAGTCCATAAGAGATCACTGAAGTTCCAAACCTTCATCATTCTGCTCTCTTTTGAAATAGACTTCTCTAAGTATGCACAGAGGTTTTATTTCCACATATTTGCATGCTTGAAAATTAGAAGCTGTAAGAAGGCATCTTGAGCAGCACCATGGTTCCAAATATGAAATTATTCAAGAATGATAACCTGGAGTAATTGTTAATCAAAATGACCTGAAACAAAAAAGCATTTTACACATCAATTTTTCTACAAAGAGCCAGATGCTTTTTCAGCTGAAACATTTTTTACTTGCTTATACAGTTTCTTGAGATAGTTATGTAAAATGGAGCATATCATCTTACAACATTACCATTGCCAGTTTCATTTATGGATAACTTTAACCCATTCCTAATTTTTCATGATATGTTTATAGATAGAGACAGTATCTCCTTGGGACAGAAAGGTCAGAATTACAGAAAGAAAAGTATCATCTGGATGCTTCTGTGTAGTTCTACAGTAGTAAGTTGTGAGGGAGTATAAAATGTGTAAACCCTATACCATACTTTGTTCTACATTGTATTCTGCCATCTTTCTGTAGGCAGACAGACAGATACTTGTAAATTGTGAAAAGAGCCTCTATTCCCATTATCTGATGTTACCATTTCCTCACATAAGAGCATGAGGACCTATGGCCTGGATTGCCAGGCAGATATCACTCCAATTATGCTTGCAAAAGTTCTGCCATACCATGGATATGACTGTGATAATGTGTTGATAACCTGTCTATTGATGTCCTCATGGACTCCTGCTTGGGACTACTTGATGATAACACAAAAACTTAGACTGATTGTTATTTCACCTGTGTCAGACAGTTCGAAAGTAACATAGGTCTTATTGCTGATACTACACTGCATTACAATTTTGTTCTTAAAATACATTTCAGGGAACCTCAGTGTGTCATATGTGTTCAGAACCGTCAAAGTAATACAGCTTTTGTTCCCAGAAAATACATAGTTTTTCAGTTTACACTCACACTCTGGAATTAGCTAAAAGCTTCATCAGAGTGGAGCAGCTGGACAGCTGCTCTCTGTTGGTTACACATCTGACAAAACTAACTAGTATAGATTAATCTATCCAGGATTGTTTGTAATTTATGATTCTTCAATTGGCCAAGCATTTCAAATGGCAAAATGTGCCTGATTTATGGTGTTCTCATTTTCTTTGTCCTTTTCCTAACAATATCCATTATTTTTTCAACTGCATACCATAATATCCCCTGTGGGAGACCTGCCGTTGCTAGTGGCAGTCAGATACAGAAATGTTCATGGTGGTCTGGTGGTACATGCAGAGAAGTAAGCTAGCCAGAATTCAAAACACTTCAGCCGAAAACTTATTTCCTCACTTGCAAAGCATTCTTACAAAATATTTAAACTACTTTCAGAACTTTCCTCTAACCTAAAAGGTAATATTAATACGTAACTAAACACGTTAGCTGACTCAGACACGCAAGAGGGCTGCTCTGAAAATAATGCCTCCTATTTTATAATGTTGGCCCATGACATCAGAAGCAGATGTTGATGGTATGGCAGACAGATAGCAGTGGAGGGGCAGTCTGAGAAAATGGTGTCTGACGTGGAAGTATGTATGAAGCAAAAGTGTGTCACTCAATTCCTCCATGTGGAAAAATTGTCCATTTAGAATTCAATGGATGTTCATCAACACTTACTGGATGTTTCTGGAGATAAAACAGTGGATGTGAGCACGGTGAGGTGGTGGGTGGTAAGTTCCAGCAGTGGCAAGGGCAAGGGCAAGTCACCTCTGCTGGCATAGATTATTAATAGAGCGTCCTGCAGGCTCTTGCTCATTGGTTGTGAAAATGCAGCGCTAATGGAGATGACTGTGTTGAAAAAGTGTTTTCTAGCTGAGAATTTACTCTGCCAAACAGTGTTGCTCTCTGTCTCTACAGTAAATTCCATGGAAATATTAAGAACACATTACTTTTGAAGTGACCATTACTTTTAGAGTGACCTATGTAAAACAAGCACACCATCAAGGCACAGGCTTAGGAATGTGAGCTAACCAAATGGATGCCCTTTTAGATATGCTCAAAATTTTGTTTATAAAGAGATAAAAATATGCTTAGATGAGTGCTATCACTATCAGAAATTTCTAAAAAGAGAAAGACTATTATCCAGCTACTGCAGAAATATTTTTACCTCTAAAACGTTTGTGGTTTTGTTTTGTTTTGCTTTGTTTTGTTTTGTTTTATCATCAGGACATAACTGTGTATTAACAAAGAATTACATCTATGTATGAGTATGTATGAAACTGAATGAGTGTGAGCATGTGGGATATGTGATGACACTGGAGGCAGAACTGGTCTGAACTGGCTTTGCTAAAAGGAGCTATTAGAATCTGTATATTACAGGACAGAGGTGGATTTGTTCCCCATTTCATGCACGGGAATCGGTTAAAACTGTACCAGGTTCAACAGGCAGATTTATAACTACACAGCACCTTCAACTCTAAGGCAGGCTCTTCAGTCTTGATTAAGCATTCCTGCTCACAAAAGGCCAGTCATGCCAAATAGTGCCTAATGCAAAATATGTTCCCTTCAGGATCTCTTCTGGTAGCACAGGGAGTCCAGATCAATCCCTGGGAAAGTTCAGTGGCAGATGGTAATAGCTGGATTCCCCAAAACTGACTTTTCAGAATTCTGAACACAGTTCCATGGTGGTTAGTGGAGCACAGCTTTCTCTCTGTTCGTTCCAGAGGTCTCATGCAAGTGCCCTGTTCACAGGGGGGAGAAGGAATTGAAGAGGTCATCATGATGTCTCTTAGGCTTCCTCCTCAGAATCCAGCCAAATACCTTATCAGAATCACAGAATGGCCCAGATTGGAAGTGACCTCAAGGATCAACACCAGCAGGACCACCAATCTCCACATTTAATACTAGACCAGGCTGCCCAGGGCCCCATCCAACCTGGCCTTGAACACCTCCACGGCCAGGGCATCCACAGCCTCTCTGGGCAGCCTGTTCCAGCACTTCACCACTCTCTGTGTAAAGAACTTCCCCTGATATCCTACCTAAACCTTCCCTCCTTCAACTTAAAACCATTTCCCCTTCTCCTGCAGTTATCTACTCTTAAAAGAATTGACTCCCTCCTGTTTATAGCCTCAGTCTAGGTACTGGAAGGCTGCAGTGAGGTCACCCCGCAGCCATCTCATTTCCAGGCTGAACAAGCCCAGCTCCCTCAGCCTGTCTTTGTAGGGGAGGTGCTCCAGTCCCCTGATCATCTCTGTGGCCCTCCTCTGGACCCTCTCCAACAGCTCTCTGTCTTCCTTGTACTGGGGGCTCCAGACCTGGACACAGTACTCCAGATGGGGCCTCACAAAGGCAGAGAAGAAAGGGACAGTCACCTCCCTGTCCCTGATGGCCACCCCTCTTCTGGTGGAGCCCAGGATACCATTTGCTTTCTGAGCTGCAAGAGCACACTGCTGGCTCTTGTTAAAATTCTCATCCACCAGGACAACCAGGTCCTTCCTCACAGGGCTGCTCTCAAGGACCGCTCCTTCCGGTCTGTATGGATGTATGGTTTCCTCTGGCCCAAGTGCAAAACCTTGCACTTTCTGTGTTGAACCTCATCAGGTTCACCCAGGCCCACCTTTCTAGCCTCTCGAGGTCCCTCTCAATGGCATCCCTTCCTTCCACCGTGTCGACCGCACCGCTCAGCTTGGTGTCGTCAGCAAACTTGCTGAGGGTGCACTTGATTCCATCATCGATGTCATTGATAAAGATGTTAAAGAGCACCGGTCCCAAGACAGACCCCTGAGGGATGCTGCTTGTTACCGGCCTCCTCCTGGACATAGAGCCATTAATCACCACCCTCTGTCTGCAGCCTTTCAACCAATCCCTCAGCCATCATGTGGTCCACCCATTAAATTTACATCCCTCCAATTTGGAAGTAAGGATGTGGTGGGCGACTGTGTCAAAGGCCTTGCTCAAGTCCAGGTAAATGACATCAGTCGTCTTTCCCTTGTCCACCAATGCAGTCACTCCATCACAAGAAGCCACCAGATTGGTTAAGCTGACTTCCCCTGGTGATGCCATGCTGGCAGTCTCGGATCACAGTCCAGACAAATGCTCAGTAGATCAGCAAGTGACTCAAAGTATTGCATTAAACAAGAGCTTGGTCTCCTGTCTCTTCAGTCCTCCCACAGACTAGGCCAAACTATTTTTTCTTCAGTCAGTGTCTTAATTCCCAAGGTAAAATTTGCAGGCCCTCATCTCCAGCAGTACCTTGGATCTGTGCTAGCATGAGGAGGAGTCCAATATACATTTCATCTACCTCCCTCCACCCAGCCCCACCCTGCACTTTAGGTGGAAAAGCAGACCTTCGTTCAAAACTTCATCTCCTTGTCACTATCGACTAAGGAGAAGGGAGTGAACTGTCTGGTCTTCCAAGCAGCTGTAAGACTTAATTGGGGTCAGCAAGCAATAATTTACATAGTTTGCTTGTTTGAATTACAGAAAAAATCAGTCACTCTGTCCAATAGCAAGGGGGGCAGAGAGAGAGAAAGTCTACCAAACCAATCACAGGATAGAGCAAGGATGTTTTTTGAAACCTGTTTGGAAAAAGTGCTAATAGCCACACGTTCAAAAATGTGTTGACATCACTCACAGCGATGGGCAGTGACCCAAAGATTACTCTAGGGACAGCAGCTTGTTCTAATCAAGAGAAGAAGAACAGCACCGCAAACAATGAAACACATTCCCTCCTGTGGTATAAAGATTCAAGCTGGCTTATGAGCTGTAACCACTGTGCAGGAATATTCACTGTAAGATTAACTATGATACAGAGACCTGCAGGGAAGGTGTTTTACGCAAGGAACAAAACAGAACAAAATACCACAATGAATAGGTCTAACAGTTTTATTCCTCTTACAGCTGTCCATTTTGCAAGCAGCACTGACTTA